AAAAGAAACTTCGACAAACATACCAACGACGAAAAACACACAAACGTTGCTAGAAGCACAGATGGTTTATTACACCAACCAATGCTCACATTCATCACTGCACAAAAACAAAGAGTTCAACATAACAGAGACAAAAAATTACAATTCATGATCAAAGTGTTAGTGATAATGTGATAATAATTATAACAGAAGGTTCTGGCATCGTCTGCTCCGGAGTGAAAGCAAACACGATCAATGATTAAGAGAGTGATGGGAAGATAATTTGAGGTGGTTTGACATTGAGTCCTCACCCACGCATAAGGTAAGCAGCGACTGCAAGACCGAGACCGCATGCGCAGTACCTAGTCACAATGCCGACCGGGTTCCTTTCAAAAGTGATAAGTCAATCTCCCATTTTTTATGTGCATTCGTTGTCCCGTTTGTTGCGCCTCATCCTCTCCAACATTTACGTCTACAGTCTCTTTATCCCGTGCCCTCGGTCTCTCTTTTTTCGCACGAAGTTGCTCTACATTTCTAACGTTATGTTGCTCGTCTCCCACTATATTTCCGCTCTTCTCTCTCCATCTGCATGATTTCCTTCACCTTCCTCCTGGGTTCTCGTTATTACCCACTTTGTCGTTACCACACGCCTTTGCATTCTCTTGCACACGTTCATCTTTACTATCCAACGTGAGTTGTTTCCTCTGCCTCCCTCGCTTTTGCCCATCACTATTGTCCTCTGTCGCACATTCTCTTTTTGCATTCCCCTCGTGACCATCTCCTCTCTTTGCTATCCCGCTCGCCATCCTCATTCCTCATATGCCATACGCAATTCTTTCCTTTCAAGTCCGCCTCTCCTTTGTTTTCCCTCTCCTCGTTTCCACCGCACACGTCCTTACCTTCTCGCTTGTGCTCTTCTCCCTTTTGCTCGTGTTTTTTTTTCTCTCCCTCTCACTCACACACACACACACACACACACACACACACAAGTGTAGTGGTGTACCTACTTATGTTTAGCGGTAGATTCATTCGATTTTGCTTATCCTATCGAGGGAAGTAACTCGACGTCAGCCACAATATTCACACTCACACACATGCACACACACATGTAGCAGTGTGCATTACCGTGCTTTAGTCATAGATTCATTTTTTTTTTTTTTTTTTTCTCAGCCTATCGATGCTTCACCATGCAGTCGGTTGCGAAATCGTAGATTTATACATACATACTCATGCACACACAAGCAGCACAATAGTGTATATTTTCATATTTTAGTGGTAGGTTCGTTCGATTTCGCTCGTACTACTGACAAAAGTAAAGTCAAGCTGCAAGCTGTGGGATTGAAGGTTTACTTGTGCTCTCTTCGAAGTTCTCGTCGCTAGTCAACAAGGCTCGTTGCTGGCGACATCTCCTTCGACGTAACACGATTTGTCATAATGAGTAGCATATCAAGACGACAACATGGGGGACATGACTTGACACAAGCGCGCATTCCAATGAGTCGGGCGGACGACGGGTAAGTCGCATTTTTCTCATTTTTTTATTTTTATTTTTTTTTCTTCCTCGCGCTCCTCTTCTCTTCTGCACGGCCACCCCCCTTCTTGCTTGCTTACTCTTCCTCCCGCCACGCGTCCTTCTACCGCGCGACCATTTTTTTCCTCCGCACTGTCAACTCCTTCTTGATCTTCTCCCACACGCTCTCTCGCCTGTCTCTCGCTTGCTATTTTTTTTTCTTGCGTGCACTACCCATGCGCCTGTTCTTCGAACATTTGCACACGCTCCACCACACGCTTCCTACTTTCCCCTACGACGATGATATTTTCCGTGCCTGACACGATTGAGATCGAGGCGGGGTCTAGCTGCAACGGAAAAGTCTCTTATTCCTCGTACTGAATTTGCCCCCTTATAGAGGCAGATTCGTTGAAGTGAATCTATGAGAGAATAACCACGTGACTAAGAAAAATTAAAAGAAACAAATCTTACTAAGGAAAAAAAAAAAGTAAAGGAAAACAAAAAAAAAATGAACTACTAACTATTCGTCATGCCAACTGTCACCACGGGGTCTAACCGTAACTGACTTCAGTTTCGAGGTCACGGGTTCGAGCCCCGACCAACTGAGCTTGGGTGAAAGCATAGTGAAACTCTTTGTCAAAAGGAGCTAGCTAAGGGATCGGGTGAACTCGATCCCCGAGTCTATTGCTTGACAGCTTATGTCGAAACCTACTGAGCTAGCTCTCACTTCAGGAAGGAAGGGAACAACTCTGGTATAGATACATTAATGAGGCCTAGCCTTACTAGTGGACTGAGCTCAAGTTGTGGTTTTATGAGAAACCAAGTCTTGACGGATGCCGTAGTTCGGTTGCCATAGGCTTTTGGGGTCTTTATAGTTGCCTCGGGCACACGGTCGGGGCCTATATTTATTTAATTTGACTCAAAATGATTGAATACTTAAATTTTTGTGCATATTCTCGGCTTCATCTGACAAAAGATCAACCTAGTGGCACCAGATCCCTCGACCTTTGAAGTCGAGGGGTTTATAATATTTTAACACTCCTAATTTTTAATGAGTATTGTGCTAAGGCCCACGCTTTGTGCACTGTTGGTTTAGGCGCCTTCCTGCCATCGAGGTAGGCGTGTGTGCTTTATATCAACTGAATCCTCAACCTCTTCGATCGAATAATTACTACTGATCCTAACGATCATAGTGCGCGTCATAATATCTCGCGCGCATACTAACGAAATTTTATCACTGATTTGCCCGTGCCTCAATGATCAAGGAAATAGTTTCGAAGCGTCTCGCTAAAGTGCGCACACCCTTTTTATTTTAGATCGGCCCCGTTATGGTAGGTGATGTCGTCACTGTATGGACTGCAAAAACATGGCCAAATACCCTTACTTGACCCTTGTAAGGGTATTTGGTCCGACAACGCACACACAGTAATCATAATATTCTTATTGATACACCTCGGCCTCAATAGTCGAGAAACTCATTTCAAAGTGTCGTGCAAAAATACGCACATTCGTTAACGCCAAACCGGCGTTATCATGGTAGCTGATGTCGTCACTTTGTCAAGTGCTTCGATAACGGTTCCCAACTAGTAAGGCAAAGTCGCGGTGCGCATGCTGCCGCGACTCTCGGGAAGTAATGCGCCACCGTTTTGCTAGACATCCATCCAAGGAAAGCGGACCTCACATGTGACCCATTTTGGATGGATGGATGTGCTGCCACAGTACTTTTCGAGAGTTCTAGCAACATGCAGGCCGCGACTTTAATTTTATAGGAGGGAAGCATATGTTTTTAAACCACCAGTACTTGGCCCTACCATTGGCCGCTGACAAAAAGGACAGTAAAAACGTTTCTAGTTAGATGAATGTAGGTGCTCTGTAGTGACCCATACGTTTCGTAAAATTGTGGCTTGTTTACGGGCACGGCTTTAGGAAGTACCGGTGGTTTAAAGCCGTGGCTTGCACGCAGCTGCAACTTTCGGAGCTCGGCCCCTGGAGCAAAGTGGCTGGCAGCACCAGCCAAAAGGAGGCCCGCAGCAGTTCTTTTTCTTTTGGCGAGGAACACTTTCAGACCCTAAGAAAAGTGCCTCTGAAGTACTTGTGATATAAATTTGGATTTGGATCATTTTGAGCACGGGGTGGTGTTCTTTGTATTCGACTGGATGTTCCACAGGATATTCCATCAGGACTCGAACCTGTGCTAAGCGCCGCAGTTTGAATGTACTGGCCTGCTCCAGGTCCAGTACATCAATGATAGAAGACCCAGGTGCAATACATCAATGATGGAAGAACTGTCAGCCTGCCACATAAGGGTCTCAGCCACTGGTGGTCATGTGTGTACCATCCAGTCACATAGACTAGGTGCTGATCAGATTTTTGAACTGGGCTAGGGAGTTGATAAAGGCCAGTTCAAAAACGGGCTGAAAGGTACCAGTGTGTGCCAGTTTAGGGATAGAGTTTCTACCAATTGGGCTACGGAAGCCTTGGCGCCCCTCAGGTTTGGGCCCGGGCTTGGGGGCTGGTGTGGGGCGTCGGGGCTTAGGGCCCACCAGCTAAGCAGGTCGCTGCGGTGGCACCTTTTGCTCCAGGGTCCCCACTGTGCGTATCCGAAGTGAAGTCACCCTTTTCTTTTTTTCTTTGTCGCCCTGCATGCCTATGGGCCTCGCCGCGCCACTCACCAAATGTGCAGAACGAGAATGAACCTGGCCCTAGAGTATGGACAGATGCGCCGGCATAAATTCCGTCTTTTGTGCATTTGGTGAGTGAGTGGTGCGGCGAGGCCCTATGCCATACCATTGCCATTATATGTTGCAGATAAGCGCTTGGGGGGGAGGACACCTCCCCGAAAAGGCGCAGGAGTGAGGACATGCACATGCACTCTGCGCCGCGCCTTCCGCGGCCTGGCGGTTGACCGCTACAACCTGCTCCGCGCCTGCGCGGCGTGCGCACCTACTTTTCCTCTTTTGTCTTTTTTTTTTCC